TGCATTTCTCATGTGGTAGCGGCTCATGCGCTAAACTCCAGAGGTCCCAGGTTTGGTTCTGCCTGTCGGCCTTACACTTGCGCCACCTAATACTTCAGGGTTAATGGGTGGCATAATTGGTTCGAATGGTTTTCAAAAGGCAACATCAAGACATGAGAAGTCATTCTTCTGCTCTACTCTGCGCTGATTAGGCCTCAGTTGGGATATTGTGTCCAGTTCTGGGCACCACAGTTCAAGAAGGATGTGGAGAAACTGGAGAAGGTCCAGAGGAGAGCAACAAGAATGATGAAAGGTCTAGAGAACATGAGCTATGAGGGAAGACTGAAAGAATTGGGCTTGTTTAGTTTGGAAAAGAGCAAACCGAGAGGGGACGTGATAGCAGTTTTCAGGTATCTAAAAGGGTGTCACAAGGAGGAGGGAGAAAATTTGTTCTCCTTGGCCTCTGAGTATAGGATAAGAAGCGATGGGCTTAAGCTGCAGTAAGGGATGGTCAGGTGGGACATTAGGAAAAACTTCCTACCTGTCAGGGTGGTTAAACACTGGAATAAATTGCCCAGGGAGGTTGTGGAATCTCCATCACTGGAGATATTTAAGAGCAGGTTGGACAGACATCTGTCAGGGATGGTCTAGACAGTACTGGGTCCTTCCATGAGGGCAGAGGATTGGACTTGATGACCGCTCGAGGTCCCTTCCAGTTCTAGTGTTCTAGGATTGTAAAAATGTCATTCTTTAGCTTGTGTTCTCTTTGAAATAGGTTCTGTCAAACATCATCCTAATCCAGTCTCATCTGCTTTACTCAGGCACTCAGCCAGGTTCCCTCTAAACTGCACAGTAGCACGGCCCCGCAGCAATTTAAAGAGCCCCGCCCAGGGCTGCTGTGCACGGCGTGCCCCTCTTCCAGCCAGGCAGCCCTGAGCCCCTGGGTGGGGCTCATTAAGCAGCTGCATGGCTGAACTGCTGCGCAGCTTAGCAGGAACTTTGGGACAGGCACATTTGAGCACCTGACACGTATTAACAGAATCCTGGGGCTTTCCAAGCGCGGGCCATCCTCTCGGGTTCCTCATCTAGCACTTAGTTCTTTGGTCATTGGAGAGTAAAAGTCCTTGTAGTTGACATCAATGCAGCATAGCTGCTGGGAGCAAGGAAAGCCAACCCGATTTGTCCAGCCAGTTCTTCATGGCCCACCAGCAAATAATCCATGAACCACTGGGTAGGTCATTTTAGAACCTGTTGTCTAGGGCATGGAAGGACTCAGCCTGGCCACCTAGCTGCCTCCTTTATTGAGGAACTAGCCATGCAAAGAATTGCCTCCCATCTGATGCTCCGAAGGAATCAAGATTGAAGCTTGATTTTAAGGTGGCTTGGTCCCCCGCCCCTCTTACTCCTCTGATGTCCGTCGGCATCATGGGGCTGCATGGTCGTGCTGCGGCCTGCTCGCAGCTCTGAAAAGAAGAACGACGGAGCTAGCATCGAGTCTGCCATCCCGGCCGTAAGGAAAGTGGCGTCCACCGCGCACCCATCGTTCCCAGGCACGGCATGTTCTAGGAGTCCATCTCGGAGGGGATGACAGCGAGGCTCGCCTTGGCCGTGTCTGCGTTGGAGAGGAAGGGATGCAGGCGCTACCAGAGGGAGATTTCTGGCCCCTGCTTCCTGCTGCAGCTTAACTCTTCTCATCCCATTGTTTCCAAAACCACTCTCCCCTCTCCAGGGTGTGGGCGCGCTCCCATTGCTCGCATCCAATGTTTCCTTCGGGGGGGGGTTGTTTGTTTGCTTGGGGGGGGAGGGGCGGGAAATGTCTGAAAATAGTGTGTGAAGCAGATTTTGTGAATGAACCAGCCGGCAAGAGGTTTACCCTCTGGCCTTGTTTTACTAGAACAATGCGTCCTTGGGCACATGTGTGTGTGTGTGTATTGCAGGGAGAAGGAGGAAGCAATGGGAGGGGGTCAGGAAAGGACTGGCTTTGGATTGACTTGCTTTCCGTTAGCGCCTGCTCATGTTCGGTTATTTTCTGAATGAAGCCGGGGACTACTTAGGAGATGGTTGAGTGAAATAGCCCCCTTTCGTTTTCTCCGCTGGTCTGAAACCCTGACAGTATTGGCAGGGCACCGTTCACTTTCAACTGGAATTGACCGATATCTAGAGCAAATGATTGTCTTAGTTCAGCTTTATAACATCAAAAGGCCAAAACCCCTCGAATGACTTGGAGGAAGCTGAGGTTTGGCACAGTATTTTTTTTCTTTAATTCTGTTCATTTTAAAGGCAATTTAATTTGTCATCATCTTTCCCCCCATCCCCGTCAGATGTTTCTAATTAAACTGGAGACACTGGTATGTAAACAATTAAGAGTCTAAATCCTTGCCCAACTCCTGGATTGACACGGAGAGCATGAAGTGGTATTACTTTCTCTCTTTGGGTCCTGACCGCACACTTACATCCTGATACAACTTCATGTTGTAGAAATATGTCACTGTTTTACAAGCGTAGTCTCCTAGGATGCAGGGGAGACCTGTACAATTAAGACTGTTACGTGAACTGTGGTCTAGCCATGTATATATAGCCCATAACGCAGCTGTACCGTTACTTCACTTTGCACATGGTGCTGACAGCCAGAGTTCTGAATTGCCTGGAGTGAAATTACATCAAATCGTAAAAACAAATCCCAGTTTACTTCAGGCTGCAGTTACTGGTATTGGTTGATGTGTTGTAGGTTTTACAGGCTGGAGTCCTACAGATGGTCTTTTACGTGGTGAAAGAGACTGTATGCATGTCTCTTTTGAGTATGGCCTAGTTCTCAAGGCTTTTAAAGAATTGTGAAAGACTACCATTGGGAAGCGACTGTCTAGGCAGGCGTACTGCAGAAAGGGATCTAGGGGTCATAGTGGACCACGAGCTAAATAGGAGTCAACAGTGTGACACTGTTGCAAAAAAAGCAAACATCATTCTGGGATGCATTACCAGGAGTGTTGTGAGCAAGACATGAGAAGTCGTTCTTCCGCTCTACGCTGCGCTGGTTAGGCCTCAGTTGGAGTATTGTGTCCAGTTCTGGGCACCACATTTCAAGAAAGATGCGGAGAAATTGGAGAAGATCCAGAAAAGAGGCAACAGAAATGATGAAAGGTCTAGAGAACATGTGCTATATCAGGGAAACGTGAAAGAACTGGGCTTGTTTAGTTTAGAAAAGAGAAGACTGAGAGGGGACATGAGAGCAGTTTTCAAGTATCTAAAAGGCTGTTACAAGGAGGAGGAGAAAAAAATTGTTCTCCTTGGCCTTTGAGGACAGGACGAGAAGCAATGGGCTTAAATTGCAGCAAGGAAGGTTTAGGTTGGACATTAGGAAAAATTCCTAATTGTCAAGGTGTTTAAGTACTGGAATAAATTGCCTAGGAAGGTTGTGGAACCTCCATCTCTGGAGATATTTAAGAGTAGGTTTTATAGACATCTATCAGGGATGGTCTAGACAGTATTTGGTCCTGCTGTGAGGGCAGGGGACTGGACTCGATGACCTGTCGAGGTCCCTTCCAGTTCTAGTGTTCTAGGATTCAATTATTGACTATTGTAATGACTTGTTTATGTGTGTGCATGCTACTGCTCCTCTATGTGTCCTGGGCTCTGTACAGCCAATTGCTAGTGGAGGTTCTTTTAATCAGCGTTGTCATGGTTGGCGCTTTTGAAGCAAGCGGGAGAATGTGATTTCTCCCCCCACTGCTGTCACAGAAAGTAGCTGTGCTTTGCAGCCGAGTGCCAACCATGGTCTAGGTGGCAACGGACTGGTCGCATCATCCCACGTTCTGTCGTAGGAGAGCCAGAGGGTGGACAGAGTATTGGGGAAAGTCCAGCTGCTACCTTGAGTTGTCCTGTAGCTTGAGTTTGCCATGGCGAATGCTATTGTAGGCTTTGCTGCTGAAAACAGTGGCCCTAGCGCTTGTGTTGGATTCGAGCGAAGTCGCCAAACGGAGCCTGTTTGGGTGAAGTTTAACATGAGTGATGTGCCTTGTGACCAACCATCCATGTAAAATAAAAGGAAGTTGGACCTGTCAAGAAGTCTCTTTGAAATGACAGGATTGACCAAAAAATTATGGCAATAGTGCACAAGTGGTGGATATTTCTAAGAACTGTCCTGAACATTTGCTTTAACATACGGAGTTAGTATTCCTATAGATTCACAGGTGGCGATAGATAGAACCAAAGAATCGTTATTAATCACTTCAGGGTTAAGCTGGAAGCTGAAATATAATTAACACCGTAAACCCAACTGGACTTGTGTTGGGAAAAGAACATTCCTAGCTAAGTGATTTAGAAGAGCAAATAAAACCAGAAAGAATGTCTCAGAAATGATTTCCCCTTTCCTCTAAACTATCTTTTTGAGAAGTAAGTATACCCTAATCATAGAACTGGAAGGGACCTCGAGAGGTCATCGAGTCCAGTCCCCTGCCCTCACGGCAGGACCAAGCACCATCTAGATCATCCCTGATAGATGTCTGTCTAAGCTGCGTTTAAATATCTCCAGTGATGGAGATTCCACAACCTCCCTCGGCAATTTATTCCCATGTGTAACCACCCTGACAGGTAGGAAGTTTTTCCTAATGTCCAACCTAAAACTCTCTTGCTGCAGTTTAAGCCCATTGCTTTTTGTTCTATTCTCAAAGGTCAGTGAGAACAATTTTTCTCCTTCCTCCTTGTAATACTGTTTTAGGTACTTGAGAACCACTATCATGTCCCCTCTCAGTCTTCTCTTTTCCATACTAAACAAACCCAATTCCTTCAGCCTTCCTTCATAGCTCATGTTCTCTAGAACTTTCATCATTTGCGTTGCTCTTCTCTGGACCCTCTTCAATTTCTCTCATGAAAGGATCCATCCTTATTTTCCATAGGAAAGGGCTAATGTGATATTAAATTTAGCAGTAAACAATTATGGCTTGATAATGCGCCAGCACTGAAACCATCCCAGAAGGAATAGTGTGAGTGATGGGTTTTTTTTCCCTTCTTTGCTCTGTCTGCAGACAACGGTGATGAGGAGCCGGAAGGAGTCCCTTCTGATAATTATGTGGACGGCACCACCGGGGTGGTGAGTGCAGGTGGAGGAAGAAAGCCCATGAAAGCGTTTGCTGTCCTGCGAGAGAAAGCGAACGAACAGCAGAGACAGTTGGGGAAAGTCGGCAAGAATCACCCAAGCCACGACGAGTCGAAGAAGTTACGGCTACCGTCCATGAGGGTCAGTTGGCAAACACTGGGGCGCGGGGAAAGGGAAGCTGAAAAAGTCGACAGCATTAGTCTGGTTTCAGCTGCAGACTCCCAGGGGGAAAACATCAATCGTGTGATGGGGGGGCGGTCCCAGAAGAACCTTCTGTGCTGATAAAGCCACTGACCTTCACCTCCTTGCTCTTGGGGGCTTCTCACCGCCCTGTCCTGCTGGGCCAGATCTCCTGGTCTCCCCCTACCCAAGCGCAGAGCTGAGACCATTACCCTCCCCTCCGCCCCCGAAGAGCAGTACAGACACTGAACCTCTTCGGGTCTCAGGAGAATGCAATTTGGGGCCCAGCTTCCAGGAAACCCACTCCCCACATGGGATCAACCCCCCCCCCCCCAACAAACGCAACTTTCGCCATGTGAGAGTTTCAGACATTGAAAGCACATTCAGGTAAGCCCCCTTTAACAATGGAAGGGGGGTGTGCACCCTGTTTCCTCCCCCGGCAACAATTATTTACACTGGGGTTGATCATAAATACCAAGACTTATATTAAGTACAGACAGAAGTGAAAAGGGAGAGGGTAAAGTAAATGAGAAAAGTGAAATAAGAAAACGCAGAGCTGGTTCTAACTCGCTTATTGCAAACTTGTCCTTCTTTCGGGCAAGTCTCCAAGCCAGGGGCGATCTTTTTCTCCCTGGGGACTCCGGCTATTCCCTTAGGTGTCCTGCCAAAGAGGGAGGGTCAGCTTCGCAGTGTTTTATAGATTCCACTTTGGGCGGGAGCCTGTTGTTCTCTCTGTCCCCTTCCATGGAAAATGACCTGGTTGGACCCTCCCAGTTGGCGTGGTCACGTGTCTTCCTAAGACCAACCACTGCTTAGACTTTAACAACAACCAAGGCTGCTCTCACGTCGTTACGTTGACCGCCCCGTCATTAAGGCGTCCAGTTGGAAACACCCTGGATGGCTTTCGTTTGCACATCTGAAACTCTAAACCAGCGGTTCTGGCTTTTTCCGGACGGGGACCCGTTTTGACAATTCAGGAAGATTTGGTGACCCAAGGCAATTAAAAAATGGGGGCAGCAGAGGGGGCAGAGCCACCTGGTGAGACACTTGGCGACCTTTTTGGAATGGGTCGCAACCCATAGATTGGGAAACCCTGCTTGAAACCAATCCCTGCCCCATTCATATACAAGGGGGACACACACCACAATAAGCTGTCTGGATCCCGCAGGCTGCGACGTGACACTGGATAGGTCACGTGAGGACTGTTGTCCGAAGCAGCTTCGAGTTCTGCATATCGGTGTCCATAAAACGAGTTCATATCGCATGGGGGAGGGGATCAGGGCCACCCTGCACTTGCCACAAGCCATTTTTTTAAGAAGGCAAAGAAATGAGGCAAACATCGTTTCTTCGCCGCCTGTTCCCGGGATGACTCCAATGAGCGTCCCGGTGGGAATTTGCGATTTCTCCTTGTACGGGTTCGCGTCCGTTCCCGAAGGGCCACTGGAGCCCGCCCCTCACGCGCCCAACGTGGATCAATTCCCTGGGGGAGGGATTTACGGCAGAGGATGCGCGGCGAGCCTCGTGGTCCACCGCCAAAGTGACAGATGATGATCCTCTCTGGCTTTGCACTGGGCATGGCCTTTGTGCCGTGGCAGAGTTGCGCTGCCCTTAGAGCCACAGTCCACAGGCCGCAAACCGTGCTCCTTGGAGCACGATTAACGAGAATGCTGTCTGGACCCGATTGCATCTGCCAAATAGGAAATAAAGGCTACAGGGCTACAGGGCATGGCACACGGTAGCCCAGGGGCTGTCCTCTTCCCTACAGACGCCTGGCCCACACAGAGCACAGGTCCCAGCAGGCCACGGTCCTCCTCCTGTCCGCAGACGGCAACCTCCCAATTACCGAGGAAGAGCACAGTACCTCGGTAACCGTCCTGTCCCCAGGAAAGTCAGTGCAGTGCGTCGGTGCCATGCATTGGCGCTGGCCTCAGGGGAGTCCCGTAAGGCAGTCGTTTTCAGACTTTTGTTTCTTTTCCCCAACACCCAGTTAAAGAAAATTGTTGGTGCCCATGACCCAACAGAATTTGAGTGGCGTGCGGGCTCCGGGATGGAGCCGAGGAGAAAAGCTTTGGGGTGTGGGAGGGGGCTCCAGGTTTGCGGGTGCCAGGAGGGGCTGACATGGCGCGTCTCCTGCCCCAATCCGCGGTGCAGCAGGGGGGACTAAGGCAGCTTCCTGCCTCTCCTGGCCCCACAGACCAGGCTGTGCCCCAAAAGCAGCCAGCAGCTGGTTCCCAGCCAATGGGAAGGCGGAGCTAGTGTTCGGGGCATGGGCCGTGCGCAGAGCCCTGTGCGCGCTCCCCCCACCCAGCCCTAGTCTGTGGGAGCTGCCTGAGCCCCCCACTGGTCACCTGATTCCCCCTGTAGCAACGAGACCCAGCACCCGACATCCCACCCCCCAGTGCTGGGTCACGACTGTCACTTGAAAACCGCCGGTGTAAGGGGGGCAGATCGGAGTGGGCCAGGGAGGGTTTCAGTCTGCACAGAGTGGGTTCCCTCAGCTCAGCCCACATTAGGGGCTTGCCTGGAGGATGTAGGGTGGGCTGAGGCAGCTTGTGACGAGCAGCCCCGGCTAGACTCTCTAGCCAGGCTGGAGAAGCTTCCTCCATGCCCCGTTTCCCAGGCGTGAGAGTGACCCCTGAAAGGGTCTTGGTAAGTGGCCGCTTGGTCCCTCTAGTGGGCAACGGAGGCATCGCTGCTGCCCAATCTCTGCTCAGCCACCGAGTACCTTGTGGGATGGGGGTGCAAACGGTGGGGAACTGGGGGGGACCTCGGGAAATCTCCCCACCGGGAGACCTGGGGGAAATCAGTGCAAAGCAGGGGAAAGGGATTCTGTCCCGCGGCGCGCAGTGCATCATCGCACCTGGGCTTTGTGGCTGGAGACGTCCATTTCCACCTGCGCACGCCTTGAGTCCGTGTGCACACTCGCCCATGTGTCTGTAGAACTTACGTCATGCCCCGCTGTGAAAAAACACCCGCCGGGGTGGACAGTGCTTGTCACGGGAGGATGGAGGGGGGGGGGGGTGAGGGGATGTAATTATGTTAGTAGGAGAACTTGCTCCTCGTGGCAGAGAGCAGCAAATGGGACACTTTACAGGGGCACAGCTGCACCAATTCGGCTGCATCGCTCTGAGCTCTCCAGGGCGGACGTCTCCTTACGCTTTGTCTACACTGTCAGTTGAGTGACACAGCTTTCGTGGTTCACGGGTGTTCTCCCCCACCCCTCTGAACACGTAAGCGTTGCCAAGGGAAGCGTTGCCAAGGGTCTAAACAGTGCTCTGTTGGAGGGGGCGTACTCCTACGGGCACAGCAAACGCCAGTGGGAGGGGTGGACGGTTTTTGTCCATCACAGTGCCAACGAACCGTGTTTATATTGCCTGACTTTTAGTGACACCACCCATGCAGTGTAGTGTAGACGAAGCCTTAGACTGTCTACACTGGGAAGGTTTGGCGACAAAAGTCGCGGAGGACAGGCAAAAGTCGCCCAAAGCGAAAACTGGTCAAACCGATTTTTCTGCTGCCCATTGTTGACATTTCCTGGCCACATTACTAGCTCCCTTGGCAACAGATAGAGCAAAGCATTGTGGGTAAGCATCCCACAGGGCAGTGTTGTGGGAAGGCGGAGCTGCTCTGGGAGCTCTCAGTGCTAAGGAACGTCAAAGCAGCGCAGCCCTCTCCAGCCCTCCCCCTGCCGAAGATGTCTGCCTCCTGCTCTGTTCCTAGGACCGGGCAGAACAGGAGCAGTCCAATGACTGGCTCTTCATTTGTTCCCCAAACGGAGCAGCTCATTTGGTCATCGGACACTTCCCAGATCTGGGAAAGGGGAGGGGCGCAGGCCTGCAGGACAGCAGAGATCACAAAACACTGAGCAGAGCTGGGAAAGGGGAGGGACACAGGCCTGCAGGATAGCAGAGATCACAAAACACTGAGCAGTCAGATCAGCTCCCAGTGGCTCTTTTATGGCTAGCGAGTTGAATCCCCCAGCAGTTTCTCTTAGTCTCTTGTATTTCCCCCGATAGACAAACATTAAGCTGCTTGTGCTCGTTTGCTGTCGGTAAGTACGAAGGCGAATCTAGAGGCCCAGGGACTCCGGGCAGGTTGCCAGTGTGGGTCACGAGGTCTGGGGGGCCCCGTGTGGAGATGTAGCAACCTGGACAGACGGCCCCTGGAGGAGAAAGCAGCTATGCTGGTAAAGCCGAAGGCTGTGTTGGGCGAGAGTCGGGAACCAATCCCTCTTCCTGCTAGGCAGCTGTCAGCGGCCTTGACTCTGTCCTGCCTACGTCCGAGAGAGGGGGAGGGAATCTGTCCTCTCTTTTGTGTTGACTGAAACCTGCTGGTCTCCTGATTCCTCCCCCTCCTCCCTTTTCTTGGATTTTTGCAGCTATGCTGGTAAAGCCGAAGGCTGTGTTGGGCGAGAGTCGGGAACCAATCCCTCTTCCTGCTAGGCAGCTGTCAGCGGCCTTGACTCTGTCCTGCCTACGTCCGAGAGAGGGGGAGGGAATCTGTCCTCTCTTTTGTGTTGACTGAAACCTGCTGGTCTCCTGATTCCTCCCCCTCCTCCCTTTTCTTGGATTTTTT